GCAACGATATTTTTATAAAATCGCGACGTCCCCTGCGACTGTGAAATATCGCGCATGCGCCAACATAATCGCGGTAATCGCCATGGACGATATATCGTTCAGCCTAAGTGGGTGTGGTGTGTCTGTCTGCCCCTGTTGGTGTGAAAAAATGTGAAATCTGGAACATGGTGTAAGTTGTTTTGTGGTGTGGTGTGTGTGGTGGTGTGGTGTGTGGTGTGTGTGTGTGTGTGTGGTGTGTGCGCCCTGCTTTGCGTGTGTTCCAAGCATGTTTACACGGCCTTCCTACATGCAGGGCGTGAAGTGTGTGTGGGGTTTCATTCAGGTGGTGATTTGATGGTGTGTTTACCCTGAAGCACAGACAGGCCTTGTGACCTATAGATTCTCTTGTATGATATATGTCACTGGGTAAGCACCTGCAGCAACATATCCTAACAGAACAAGCTAGTTGTACGGCGTCTGTGCCTCAAAAGGGCCCTTTAAGTAAAAGAAACAGTAGTATCATAGGAAAATGTTCATTCAAAGCATCCAAAGTACCATTCTGCCAGAACAATGGCCTCCGTATGAGATATTATTATATGTGAAGTTGTTTTCATATTGGTTGTAATTTAGTAGGTCACTTAACTGTAATAAAAAATCACAATCAGAATCCTGTAGTTAGTCCCACAGCGTTAGACAGCAAACGTGGCATAGCAGGTAAAAAAGGCACTTTACTTTACTTGACGTATTTCCAATGTTGCCTACTTTGTACTTTTACTCCACTACATGTATTTAATCCCTTTAGTTACTTTACAGATGTGGATGAATGATGTGAAATATAATTAAGTGTTAAATCAGACTTTAGTTCCACCTGGAGTAAAGTCACAAGTTACCCTGCAGTATACAAAGTCATTCAAACTAGCTGCACCTTTACCAGCTTTGAGAACACTTTCATGATCAATCATTATAAAACATATCATATATATTATTCTGAAATGGACCAATCTGCACAATGACTACTTTTACTGTCGCTACTTTCACTATATTTTGATGATAATACTTTTCTACTTTTACTTGAGGAACATTTTGAATGCAGGACTTTTACTGAAAAACAGAGTATTCCTACACTCTGGTACTTCTACTTTACTCAAGTACAAGATCTGAGTACTTCTACTTTTACTAAAGTACAAGATCTGAGTACTTCTACTTTTACTCCAGTACTAGATCTGAGTACTTCTCTCTTCTGGTTAAATACCTCCACTGCTTTGTTGTTTTACACACTCCCACAAACAGAGGAGGAGAACTTTAAATATCGGGTACATCTCTGTGAACATGTCCCTGAATAATAATTTTATAATCCCTTTAACGCAGATTCTCCTCCGGTTTGCTGCGTATCTCCCGGTTATTTAAGTTAACCTCCGTTATGACTTTGCCCTCTTCCTCCTCTTCTTCCTCCTCTTCCTCCCCGCCTCCCGTTACGACACACACACTCACACTCACTCTCACACACACGTTCACAGGTTAAATCCTCAGTACATACTCAGGTGTCACACACACACATTAAGGTGTTTTAAAGCGATAAGACATTTCTCCGTGTTTACCTTTCTGCTGTTGCTTCGGTGATCTGGGCCTTGAGTGACCAGTTAAGCACTTCCGGTTTGGTAGAAAAAGGGACCGATCAGCTTTTTATCCACGAGACGAAACTGCGGTTAGCGCCTCTTGGTGGCCGTGATGGGAACTACAGGGTACTGTAATTCTACTTTTAAAAGTAAAAATGATCATATTAATTGATTTATGAATGTCATTTTGGGAAATAAAGTGTATTCTGTTGCAAAAAAAGCAAAAATAAATGGTTTAAAATAACATACTCAATGTTAGCTAGCCTAAAAGCAATTAATAAATAGCTAGTTTAACAGTTAGTTGTCTTAAAAGTAATTGATAAATTGTCAAATGGTAAGGAGACACTGTTATAGGAGTATTTATAGCTTTAAATCCATCCCATATCAACTGAGATGCAATAAATGTAATGTGTAATTTTGTTAAAATTGACCATTGTTCTTTAAACATAAAAAAATGGAATAGTTTTAATTATTATAATTAAATTACTAATATTCTAGTATTTTTAAGAAACAAATCATCTTTTTAGTGTAGGTCTTGGTATTGAATCCTGTTTATGACTATTGAGAATTAAAAAAAAGAAACAGAAAATTAAAAATAATTAAGAAATGGTCCAAAAAGAAATGAAGAAAAATCTCGTTAGTTGATTTGTTGTTGTTGTTGAAAATGAATAAATAAATGTTCTTTTAACCAAAAATCTGTCTCTCCTGATTAAAATAAAAATAAATGAGATCTAAATGATCTGGTTCTGTTGTGGCTCTAATGGCTTCATCGGTCTGCGGCCTTCAGCACTCACTGGATCGGTTCGCAACCGAGTGTGAAGCGGCTGGGATGAGGATCAGCACCTCCAAATCTGAGGCCATGGTTCTCAGCAGGAAACCGATGGACTGTCCACTCCAAGTAGGGAATGAGTCCTTACCCCAAGTGAAGGAGTTCAAGTATCTCGGGGTCTTGTTCTCGAGTGAGGGAACAATGGAGCGTGAGATGGGTCGGAGAATCGGAGCAGCGGGAGCGGTACTGCAGTCGCTTTACCACACCGTTGTGACGAAAAGGGAGCTGAGCCAGAAGGCAAAGCTCTCTGTCTACCGTGCCATTTTCGTTCCTACCCTCACCTATGGTCATGAAGGATGGGTCATGACCGAAAGAACGAGATCGCGGGTACAAGCGGCCGAGATGGGTTTTCTCCGCAGGGTGGCTGGCGTCTCCCTTAGGGATAAGGTGAGAAGTTCAGTCATCCGAGAGGGACTCGGAGTTGAACCGCTCCTCCTTCGCGTCGAAAGGAGCCAGTTGAGGTGGTTCGGGCACCTAGTTAGGATGCCACCTGGGCGCCCCCCTAGGGAGGTGTTCCAGGCACGTCCAGCTGGGAAGAGACCAAGGGGTAGACCTAGGACCAGGTGGAGGGATTATATCTCTTCGCTGGCCTGGGAGCGCCTTGGGATCCCCCAGTCAGAGCTGGTTGATGTGGCCAGGGAAAAGAAAGTTTGGGGCCCTCTGCTGGAACTGCTACCTCCGCGACCCGACCACGGATAAGCGGGAGAAGATGGATGGACATTCTGTGTTTTGGTAACAATAAAATAGACTTAGAAATACCATAATTAAATCATCCCAATGTATTTGGTACAGTCTATTTGTGTAAGAATGTTTAACTTTGATACAATACCTTAAAAAATATTAATATTCTATACACCATTTCTGACACATAGACTGACACAACCTTGGGGTCATACTTTTTCATTAAATAAACTAAATATATGAAACAAAAAGGTTTATTTTAACTTTTTTTATTAAGAAATTAAATAAAGAGAACATTTATAAACAGATAACAAAAATATTTTAAACCACGATAACTGTTTTGAATAACCAAGGAGTTAATAAGGTACAATAATAAGATTAATAATAATAAGATAAGATTTTCATTGCCATGATAGATCTTATTTACAAAAAAAACAAAACACTATTTTAGTAATGCAAAACATACTAAGTTTTGCAGTAACCTCAGTACAATGCAACTTTATCATGTCTTATCTCATTCACTTGCATGAGCACAGTCCTGTAAACAGCCATTAGTCTTTAGCTGCTGCTGTTACTCGCTTTCCCCAGTCTGATGTCATAGGTGACCATGTGGAAGTTGTCCCAAGCAAACAGCTTCCTCTGGGCGTGGTTGTAGTCCACCATGCTGTTGTAGCGGAATTTGTTCTTGAAGGGCATAGAGAGAGCCCTCCCCATGCCGGTGGCCGTGTCGAACACATAGTTGATGGTGGTGTTGGGCGCGGTGTAGCTGCCCACGGTGTACAGGCGTCCACACACTATGAAAGCGTTGGCCACTGTGTTCTTCCTGATGTTGGTCTCCCAGCTCCTCTTCACCTCCAGGCTCTCGGGGTCGAGCTTGGAAATCACAATTGCCCCCTTTGCCTTGTTGGTGCTGTAGATCGCCCAAAGACCCTGCTCGTCTGCCGCCAGGTCGATGTCGGTGTAGCCGCCCCAGGAGTAAGGGTGCTGGCCGTGGAAGCCGGCATGAGGCAGCTCCAGGCGGGAGGCCAGGCGCTCGGAGGTCAGGTCGTAACGGATCAGGCTGCGGCTGTGTTTGCGCTGGTAATAAAGGGAGCCACGGTACATGGTGGCACCTGTGCTCTCCATTGGCTCCGGCAGGACCAGGACCTTCATAGGGAAGCCTTGGGATAACTGATCCATGTCTTCATACGCAAAGACCTGACGGACATCTTTACCCACTGTGTCGATACGCCACACGGTCTTGTTGTTGTAATTGGGACCCTGAGGCTCGGGGTCCTGCAGCCACACTCCATACTTCCCTGTGATACTGTCAGCCTTCTTGTGCAACACGGGGTCTCCGACTGACTGCAGCTCTCCACAGCCTGCAGGACGAACAGAGCGTTAAAGGCATAATATGTTGCATTTTAGCATTAAATTATCTCAAAATGGCAAGCTCTTTGTTATCTGCTTCGTTAAGTTATGTACTTCCCTATCACAAATGTTTCAAACTATTTCAAGCAACTGAAATCTGCTATTTTAATTAAGGTCAGTTCGTTTCATTCAGTCGACTGTAAGGGCCAGTTTTCCCCTTTTGTGCTTGCCTGCCAGAAGCATAATATCATAAATTGGCTATACATGTATTTAAGCCACATCTTTTAGATCAAGGCCATTTTAGATATTTTTACCAGAGGAAGAATTTGAGACTTCTGGATCAGAAAAGAACTGAGCAAATTTAAATGGCAGCTAAAGAAAGACTCATTTGTGATGTGACATGCTTTGGTTTCTGCTGGTTTTATCATCTGTTCTGGGTTTTTCTTTGGGAGAATCCCATGTCTTGGCATATTAAAACCCAAACTTTACCTGTGAAGTTGGGACTTCCTTCAGGAATGAGTTGGGATGCTGGAACCTCAGTAACCTCTGCTTTCATCTCCTGGTATGCACCATTCCCTAAATCATATGCAGGGTCTGGAAAAGTGAAGAGTAAGAAAGCAAAAAATAAAGAGTGGGAAAGAATGTTAAGGAGAACTTGTCGAAACATAATTAATGTATCCAGTATATTAGCAGTAATGTACAGTTGAGTCCATCCACACATCAAAGTGTCTCGTTTATAAGCCTCGGAGCACAGCAGGTTCCCCCTATAACCCTGCCATTACTCTGCTGAAAATGATCACATGCACATAAGCAGACATGCATGATTGACAAAGCCATAAAAGAAGAGTCTGTGTTGTAAATACCGACCCCCCTGGCTTAACCTGGGACATCTTACTGCAACCTGACTCGTTGCCCCACAAGACTTCTAATGGCCTAAGTCAACCGAAAATACATTTATCCGAAAAAAACAAAAGAGATAAGCAACTACACATCTTTATTCCCCCCGAATATAAGGAACACAATTTAGTCGTTAAGGGAAAATGAAGGGAAAAAAGGGTCAGGGTTAGTTACTCAGTGTTTCTCTCTGTTAGTATACAGTACACTACATAGTACACTCATGTTATACACATATGCATAGGACCTAAACACATTAGGTCTGAATATACACATGTATTTATTGACAGAGAGGTGTCAAAGGAGGTGAACCTCTCCCGCTAGTCCACACCCCAAATGTTATCTTTTGGATAACTCTTGTTATTAAAAGAGTTCCCGTTCTGATTTGTGTGTGTTTCCCTCGCACGTGTACATACCACTGGCAGGTCTGTTTTCCCGCTGCTTGGCCCCTGAGGTGTGTGTCTGCTGGCAGGGTCTCTGGCTGAGGGTCTCTGCCTCCTGGCTCAGCTCGGCCAGCCTCCTCTGCAGCTCATGGACCTGCCTGCTCAGGCGCTCCTTGTCCTGCTGCAGCTGGTTTCTCTCCCGCGTCACCTGGGAGTACGCTTCCTGGACCCCCTCTTCACCCTTAGCCCTCGCCCCAGTCCCCGCTTCTCCGTCCTCTCCAGCTAACAGACGGCTGACTAAAGCCTCCAGCTCGGTGAGGCGGGATGAGACTCCATCCATCTCTGGTTTTATGCTGCCCCCGGAGCAGCTGGACTCCTCTGGGCTGGGCACGGTGAAGCTGTAGTGGCAGCGCCCGGTGTGGTCGTTGGAGCGGCGGAGGGACGCTCTGTCCTGGGCCTGCTGGGTTTGAGTTAAGCAGGACAGACAGAGGAGAGACACCTGGAGCCACATTCTGGATGTTCAGGCTGATCTGTTTTTGAACAATTTAGCAACTTGTTATCCTTGTCTGTTCAGTAGATGGTCCCTATTTGATTTTTTTGTCTATTTCTTTGGCTGGTCTCCTGAGTTTCCCTGGTCAGAGCAGGTCAGAGTCTGAATCCCATGCTGCGAGGAGGATATTTATACAGTCAAGTGTCAGGGAGTGGGAGGGGACGAGGAGTGGGGCAGGGAGGGACATAGCCAGGGGGCTTTGGAGTGTTTGTGTAGAGGTCCATGTGTGTCTTCTTTTTGGAAAACAATGTATAAGAACAATGTAAGAATCAGACAGTATCAGTGGAAAAACACAACATCTGATGTTTGTTTTTTCCTGTACAGACTTCTTTGATTGTGTCTCAGCAGGTTTGTCTCTGCAGGTTGTTTTGACCTCTCTTTATGTGTCTACTGACTGTCAGCTGCAGGGATGTTTACTTCCTCCACAACTAATAGTTTTACTATTAAACCGCCACGTGATTAACCACAAACTCATTCAACCCATTAACTAACCTTAGAGCACACACTACTTCTGGTTCCTCTATTCTCCACAGCTGGGCAGGATGTCTGGGACTGGAGGTTAGGCTGTCTGGCAAGGAATGGAGAATGGAGTGTGGTAGTGGTTTTTTTCCTTGTTAGCAAACCCACTTGAACCTTTTATTTACCAAAGTTGTACACATGGTAATACATCCAATATTTTACTGAGAAACATAAATGTCAACTCCATAGCCTCACTATATGAAGGAATTCATCCTGAAATGAAAATAAGTAAGCATTTTTGCACTTCCGATGAGCTTGAAGACAATGGCTTTTTGGTTGAATGCCTAAAATCGGGTTTGGTAAACACAAGATTAAGATATCTGAAACTTTATTTCTTTGTCTACGACATAAAATCTGTCAGTAAATAACCAGCTCACATATTTTGAAACCGGATTTAAAAAAGGCGCTTGCTAACAATGGGCCAAATGAGCTTTCTATACGTCATCGTGCCAAACACTAGTCCACCTTTAGGTTTGTGGCGGTCTTGTAAAGTCATCAAGGTGTTGTTTGTTTATAGCTAGGCTTTTTACATGTTGCAATTTTATCTTTCTGAATCAAATGATTCTGAATTGTAAACGTTTGCTTTGTTACTACTATAATCCAAAATCCAATGGAAAATCCAATTGGGTTTTTATCGAAAGAACCAATGCAATATTACATTTTTGGTTGGCCCACAAAAAAACATATTTTCTGCAACACCCTATAGGGTTCATCACTTGGAAACCAAGAATAAATGTTGAGCCAATCAATCCTAGATGCTAGGATAAAAGATCAACAACGAGTCGGTAGTCTCCAACTTCTGGCCGCCATGAAATGCTGAAGAACATTTTATAGTAAATCATCCAGTATCCAAGCCATGGATTTGTATTCGATTGGACACTTTATAGGGGAACATTTTAATGATGAAAATAATCCTTTCCGGCTTTATTTTCTCTGTTTACAGGAGGTGTTGAGCCCACTTGTTATCCAACTGCCTCCATGTGATACGTCTGAAACCTGGTCTGGGTCTGTTCTGAACACAGAGGGCAAAAATAAAAACACATCACTACTGGAGACCAACGGCAACAACAGTGTATCCATGGTATGTGGTCAAAAAACATTAGGCCTCATTGACGAGGTGTTGTCAAGAAGGCATTTCTTCTCTACGAGTTATCATGTTATCAATATTTATGAGTGCTTATAACTAGAATTGTAATAATGCATTTAAGACATTGGCGTCATAGAAAGTGTAATCTGGAATTGGGCTAACATAGGCCTACGTATATTTGTTGGATTTAAATGTTCATTGTGTTGGGGAAATATTTTCCAAGGTCCATAACTGTGACCCAGTGTATCAGTTCAAACTGTCCTGACTGAGCACAGGCACCTGTAACCTTGGCTGCTGTGCTCTCAGTGTTTTGTCTCCCTGTTCCTGCCTGTTGGCGTCAGCTGATGGAGGTGTTATGATTCTATCTTGTTATGCAGCATGTTGATTATTCTCTCTGAACTAGCTAAATACATGGGTCTGGGGTAGAGTTCTTCAGAATTGACGTGGCAACTCCACCGTGAAGTCAGAACCTCTGGCTCTTGGACTTGTTTTGTGAATTCTCCGGCCGAAGCTCCAAATAAACCATCAGTGTTTGACATCAAAGCTCCTGCTCTTCCCATGTCTCTTTCCTGAGTCGGTGACTCACA